TTAGCAACCTTGGCCCCCTCACTCGCTCCCTGCACACTTGGCCGCCGATTACAACTGTCAAATCATCATCACTTCCCTACTAGCATCTTCGCAATTTGTTTTCGTTGGCCTGTCAAATTTAGAGATGGCCTCCCCTTTTTGTTTTTCATTGTTTCCATTTCAAATTCTATTGAAAGATTCTCTTAACGCCTGACTTAACTACACGCTACATTGAAAAGATTTGTTGGCCACTATGAGATACCTTCTATTATACCAATTTTATATAGAAAATTTTGTTTTGTTGACCGATTTGCAGTTGAGCAATTCTCTTAAAGCTTTATTTCAGTGTTTCTTCGAGCATATTTAAACTTTGCTCCATGTGGATTACAATATTTAGGTATAAAATAGTCAAACTTTTTGTTGATGGTTTTGTTTAATGTTAAAATGGTACTTTTTCATCTGTTTATGAAGGAATTGATTGAAATAGTATATTATTTCTCTGTCCATTAATTTCTTTCTGCCTTTTTGTTATTAAGTAGCACTAAGGATTCATGTTCTAAATTATGTATTTTTCTTCTTTTAGTCAAACGAGGCTTTGATGCTGAATGAATCCATTGAGTTCCTTAAATCACTTTAGTTGCAAGCCCAGGTATGTTCTTCCTTGGATTTTATTTTATTACTCTTTAATGTAACCTAGAAAGAAATTTTGGTTAACCTACCAAAAGAAGTATGCTCTTAAAACGTTACAGAAGTTGTACAAAAGACTCAGTGAGGTTTTTTCTACTAACGTGCATCAATAAATGTGATCAATATGTGTATGACACTTATAACACATATAGTATGTGTTGATCACAACCTTATGCTGTTACCTAGAAAAAACTTAATCTGTCTCCAAATTAGTGGGTTCTTTTTTTTTATTTTTTTTATTTTTGGCTCTCTTTAACAGTAAAGGTCTTTTACACAGATAAGCTTTATAGGATTCATCTCACCTCTTCAGAACTATTGCCCATCAATTTTGATGGACTATATCAAAGGCATAATCCTAGATCTAATGTAATAGCCTTTTACTAACTTTTACTAATAATTAATAGTTAAATTGGTAGACATGTTGGCTTTAGAAATCTATACATATAACTTGATTTGATTTTGTTTTTGAGTATATTTGAAATTCCTTTTGCTATGTTTGCCCATTTCTAAAATTTTAACATATAGGTATGGATTTCATTCTCTTTTATTTCTTATATTTAATTATTTTGCCCAAATTGAAACTTTTTTTCGTATTGCTTCTCTAATAAGAAAGCATAATTATAGAGGTTCTAATATAAGTTTGTTTTTATTTGTTTGTTTAGATTCATGAGATTGCACTAAAGAAGGAAACTGTGGGTATCGTTACAACACAATAATATGTTGACAAGGTAATGGGGAATCTTAACTCGTGTCAAAGTCCTTTTATTGTTTATAGGGTTGTATTATGTTTGCATTGCTTGCTGTAGTTTATGTCTTAGAAAGTGGTTCTAACTACATTGCTTTAGACATTTATTTTGTCTTTTTTGCATTTCTTTGGGTATTTGTTGCATTTTTGTTTCTTTCTTTTGAAGAATACTGGATGTAGGAAGATCTTTTGGAGGAAAGGATTAGAGTTGCCTTTGATTAATTATAGAGCTTTTGTGTTTGAGATTTCCATCTTGATATTTAAGTAGCTCTTGAATTAATTTGCATTCAAAAGTGTTGAGAATGTTCTCTATTTTTAGGGACTGAAAAGTAGATAATAGTAGATCATTTAATTTGTTATGCATCAGGGGTAGAGAATGGTGTGACTTTAAGGCCAAATTGATTATAGGAGTATCAATTCCAAGAAAGCCTTCTCACCCAAAAAGAAAATGAGAAAAAGAAGAAGAAGAAGAAGGAGAAGAAAGAAAGTCATGTTGACTTCATTCAAGCTTCTTTTATCATTATTTATTTTTCTTTTCTTTTTCCTACCTGAGTTGTTGAATTTTCCCATCCTTTTTCTTGGGTCAGAGTACTTCTCTAAAAGATGTAATTAATTTAGCCAGTAGATAAGGAGTATTTTGGAGGAGGTTTGGGTTTTAGAAGGGACAGCCATAAAAAGAGTTAAAAATTGGAGAGTGTCTCCATTTGGCTCTATAATCTACTATTTTAGTAGAGTTTTGCCTTATGTGTTTGGGAGTTTAACGGTTCAAATGCTCTTGGGTCAAGTAATTTAGCTAAATCCCAAAATTTTTTTATTGAAATGGAACTATAAACAAGGAGTGAGGTGAGAATTTGGTGTGGATTTTTAGGGAAAAGGGGTTTCTTTTCAATTATCTTGGGGGTTCTATTGGTTTTTTTCTTAAAAGATGTGAAGATTTTATTGAGTAGATTGATTTTTGTTAAGCATGAAGCCTTTTAAAGATGTGATGTCCATGACAACCTTTTTCTCCCCTCAAATTTTGTACTTATTTTTATTACTCTTCAAGTTGATTAGTTCCTTATATTTATGATATAGTTTGATAAAAGAAAGAATGAGGAATTGCCAAGGACACACAAGTTTATGTTGGTGCCTGATCTTCACCTATTCCTAGATGATGGTTCTTGATGTTTTCAAATGTGGAGTAGGGCAAGTTGATGCCTCTTACCGCCACCATTTACTCTTTGGTCCCATGTGTATCCAAATAAGAGTACCTTATTTTGTGCAAGTGAATTCTTATTTTGATTCTCATTATTATTTTTGTTAATATTGTAAGTGTATATAGATTCTCATTATGTGCATGTATACATGTATGTGTGTGTGTGTCCTATTGAATTTTAAAATATATTGGCTGATGCCTTCAATTGTGTATAAGAAATTCTGCTGCATGAAACTTTCATTCTAAGCATGTTTGACTTTTTCTTTAAGAATTGGTTAGATATCACTAACTTCATGCAATAACTTTTAAGGCTTCACTTTTACCATTTGAATGCATTTAATTTGTTCTAAAATTCATTGTAGTGAAAAGCTCTTACTCCTTGAGTCCAAAAGGCAGCACATGACCCCCTCCTTTTTTTCCTTTTTATTTCTAGGGG